CAGTTCGGAGATCATGCTTGCAGTCTGAATTCAGTTTGAAGATGATGAAAGATTTTAAAATAACAGAAGGTTGTAAGCTTTTTTTTCCAGTGATCATTTTGAGTGTTACATCAATGTGTTCTAAGAATCAATTCTTAGAATTGGCTAAATGTCTCTTAATTAATGTGAGCAGACAAGATAGGAAGCTAAAGTTCCCAACTTGGGGAAAGGGCATTAAAGCATATTTCCGTTTATTTTTAATAACCTCTACAATTTTTATGAGACCACTTTGCTTGCTTGTTCTGGCTGCAGTGCAGGAGAGGTCAACATAACAGGGACATTGCAGAATTGTGCCTCTTGGGAGGTCCCCTGAAGAAGCCAAGCCTTTCAGTGCAGAAATACACTTGTCACTCTCTAGATAAATACAGGTGATTCATTCAGCAATCCTCTGGTAGTGTGGTTGCTTGCACTGCATCACTGAAATATTCTGTGGTTGGCCATCACAGGAGAATTGTGAAGGAAAGGTTATCAGAGGTTTGATAGTCTGTTGTATTGCACTAGTTTATTTAGTTGTTGTTTTGCACTGGAGATTTGCACTGAGTAGTCTTTATATTGCACTGAATAGTTTATGTTATATCACATGGTTTGTTCACACCGATTCTTACAATAGTCTATACCCCTTTTGAGACAATGAAGTTGCAGCTGATAGGTAGTTTAACAGTAACAAAGATGGGACGCTTAGGAGAATCTTACCTTGTAGTCCAAAATATAGTTGCAAAACATCATTTTGAAGGCAGTAGCCTTGCATTTTTAGGTAGAGGGGGCTCTGCATTTGCTAATGAACTTGGACTCCAGTTGTTGATCTTGAAGACTTTTTTAGATACCAGCAACTCTGCTCTCTCCATGCAATGTGATGTGATACGTATTAAGAAAAAAATCATACCATTGGAATTGGAAGTGTGTCATTAGTGCTCTTGAAGGTGAAAGAAAAGCAAGAGAATGGAAATAATGCTTTCTTCTCAGCTGAAATATCTACAGTATAGATAATGTGTGTGGTAGCTTCAGCAGCTGGGTCTGCAGTTTTTGCTTCTGTCAGCAGAGGCAGCTGTCCAACTGCTGCTGAGGGGCAGGGAGAATGGAGTCTGAAGATGTTGTGGCTGGGACTGAAAAACCACACAGGTTGAAGAAATGACCCGGAAAAATGGAAGTGTCCTTCTGCTCATGGGGCCAAGGGCATGCTTAAGTATCTGCAAGCTTTTGAGTTAAGGGAGGGAATGGAGTATGGATAGATCTCTGCAGATGGGGGAAGTGGATAGAATTGGAGTGGGAAACAGTAAAGGGAGCAAGAAGTATGGAATAGGGGAGCAGAAGTGTGTCCTGAAAGATGAATAGAGAGAACTAAGAATATGAAACTTGAAGAAGTGAAGTACAAGATAGTGCATGAACATAAATATTTTTGTTTCACGTTGAGCTGCTTGCAAGGTTCTTGAGATTATGAGAATTAAGAAACGTGTACCTTGTGTCTTGACTGACAATACTTTAAAAAAATCATCCCATGAAGTTTTTGCATGTATCTTGTTCCAGCAGTACAGTGCTGGAACAATGCTTGCTCTTGCAGGGCGTAGTTGTTTGGCATGCTGTGTCCTGTTTGTCAGTAGTTGTTAGTGATACCACAGCTGTCCCCATGGTGACAGGAAGTCCAATGCCTTAAATTCATTCTTTGGAGTCCCAGATAGGGACCTCCATAATTCCCCCATTAGATTCTCATGACTAGTTCACAGATCCTGTTCTACAGAACCCATATTTCCATATACAGTTCAGAGATCCTATGACCAAATCCAAGGACATTTGTATTAAGGTCATTTGGCAAGTTACACAAGTAGAGATGTTTTCCTGGTAGTGTCCTGCCCCTAGCTGTCCCCCACAGGGATAGGAAATTACAGAACCACAATGAAAATAACAGTAAGTATGCATGGTTATCCAGGTATGGTTTGAAGTATTTCTTTTTCTAGGAGAAAACTTAGGTGCCTGGAAGTTGTCCACAGAAGGGCAGGGGAAGTGCTGGAAAGTGTGTGCAGAAGGAGAGCTGGAAAAAGATCAAGTTTGCAGAGCAAGAATAGGCTCAATTACTAATCACTGGTTCTATTCATAATCGTTTTTTGGTTGGAACATCTTGATTTCACTAAAGAGTCTGGTCTTTTTTTATCCAGAACAGATAAAATATTTCTCAGTTGGTTTGGCAACTTTGTTGTGATCTGAGAAGTCAAGGATAGGCTTAATACTGGCTTGTTAAAGAATAGCAAATAACCAACTCTAGTTCAAATGAGCCTAAATTTCTTTTTCCCTATGAACTTTAAAAGCACTGTTTAAATGCCTCAGACAATGGTAAACTGATGAATCACTCTCAACATACAAAGGCTCTTTCTAGACAGCGAGCAAAAGGCTTAATGAATGCAGAGTAAGAAACAAATCCATTGATTTTAATCCCAGAAGGCATTCATCCTTCATTGGAGCTGTTGGGGAAAGAGCAGTGATGCTGGTGAAAGGTTTTTCTGTTGATAGTGGAGAGCCTGTGTTGGTAAATGGTCCCACACAGTGCCTCAGAACCTGGAACCTCTTTGTTGCAGGTCTTCTGCAGAACCTCTAAGTTCTTCCTCCATTTACAATTTTTTATTTTTTTTTTAAATGATGTTTACATGACCCCGTATAAATCTGGAGCTCTTTCCAAAGGGCTGCTTGAATACTGCACAGATGATACCTACCAGGAGATGCTGAAGCTTAGAGCATTGTGTATCAGAACAGAGAAATATTACAACTGATGTACAAAACCAGCAGGTGGTAGTTCACTTGCTATCCTCTGTAGTTGTGTGGTACAGCTGACTTGTTTTGTGATGTGGAATGAAAGCTAATTTTGTAGCTAGAGCAGTTTTCCATTACTTCAGCTTGTGGCCACACTGACATTTTAACTCTTCAGTTATTGTGACTTTTCATACCTGTTACCTTTTCAGAGTTGCAGACTACAGAAAACTTTGCATGAGGTAAAGCTCATGCACGTGTGCTTTACTCTAAGTTTCTGAGTTCTTCATGAGGATGGAAGTCTTCAAGACAGATTTTGCAAAGATAATCTAATGTGTGGAGAAGAGAGAAACTTTAAAAAATGTATCTTAACAGATGAAAAGGCTCCTGTTTGTGCAAAACACTTGCATGGAAAGGTACCTTAAAGTTGTCAGTGCAAGTCTCAGGTGGGTTTGTAGTCAGGAGACAGAAGCATAGGAAAACTGTGGCTCCAGAAGGAATTTATTTCTTTCAGACACTCGTTTTTAGACAGAGCTTTTGACTATGGTTTCATATTGCTTGATAAGCTGGAAAGTAACATTAAAGGAAAAACCTTGTGGAAAGCCTTGACATTACCACAAAAGCTAATTTATATGTCTTTTTTTTGTCTAAGTAAGTTACTAGCTATAGTATTCCATTTCCCTAATATGTAGATAGTTACTTGTTGGCAATATATTAATTTAAGCCAGTGATGCCATCTATTTATATATATATATATTATCCTGAGTTTTATTATGTAATAGAATTGTGTCTGGGTGAGTTGTACTAACTACCAACTAAGTTTTATATCTCCTTTTTAAAAGAAGATCTGTTGTGCAAATACCGAATTTATTAAAACCAGCTTCATTGTGTGGTTGCTTCTAATCCTAGGTTTTTTGAGGACCTTATTTTTCTAGTTTCCTGTAGAAACAAGGCTTGCATGATGCTGTGTGCGTGGGCCATGTGTATCACATGCATATCCAGTCTGATTTTCTTCTGGCCTTCTGCCTAGTGTGGACAATTGAGACAGATAGGGATCTTAAGGAAACAGAGGGGTCCAAAAAATGCAGATCCAAATGTTATGAAAATAAACAGCTAATAAAGGAGAGGAATTCTAGTCATGAGTTCATGGGGGAAAACGTGCAGTACATGTCTTACTAGAAAATAAAGAGGAGGAAAAGCTGTAAGGAGCTCCCAAGCTTGAGGAGGTTGTTCCTTTGACAAATGGTTGTTCCATTTGCACCTTCATGGGCAGCAGCAAATTGGGGTAACTACAAGTTGTGAAAATGCAGGTTCTGGTGTTCCTTATGAGCTATTGTAGGAAATACAGAAGGAGGTATTGGAACAATATGCAGGATAGTAAACAGCAAAAGAAGTGTCCCTACTTCTTAAAATAATTTTGTCCAATTGATAATTTCTGTTTGTGTTTTTGTTTCTGTATTAGTGGATATTGTTGTCTCATCTGGTTGCTGTGCCTGAATAGGAAATTCCTCAAAACTCCAGTAGTATTTTGCATTTCCTTTTTTTTTCTGTTTTGGTTTAGTTTTTGTTTGGGTTTTTTTTTTTTTTTTCCCATTGTTGTGGGTTGAGTTGGTTTCTGTTTTGGTTTAGTTTTTCTTGTTGTTTTCATTTGGTTTGAGGGGGGGTTCTTTATTATATGTTAATGATCAAATGAAAAATTAAGCTTCCCTAGTTTAACAAGCAAGTGGAAAAATGGTCTACTCTGGACCACTAGGGAAAGCAGAATTAGCTTCTCAATTATTTTCTTTGGGGAGTTTGGAAAATGATGTAATGACCTTAGTGGATGAGCTAAGTGGCCAGAAGTAAGCTCCTGGAGGAAGCTCTTAGCATCTGGGAAACGTTTAAAACATGTCTTTGTTTGGGTTTTGTGGTTGAAAATGGGAAAACATTGGATTTCTAATACTTATTTTCTTCTGTTTTAAGACAAGAATTAAAAATCTGAATTGCTCTGGTATATGTAAATAAACTTGATCCATTTCAAACATATTTTGATAACTTTGTCTTGATAGGAACTTTGAAAGAATTGTTAGCTCTTCAACTGAAACTTTAAGATAGCTTTTCAGCATACTTGCATTTCTATGCTTAAGTTATTTGCAATATATTCTAAAAATTATTTGCAATATATTCTAAAAACCAGACCAAATCATTGATCTGGTTTATAATATCTAATGCTTTTGTTTCAACAGGTAGCACTACTGGGATTAGATGTTTTAGGTGCCCTTGTGGACAGACTATCAGGACGCTTTAAACCCTATATAGGAACTGGTAAGTGAAATACAACTTTTTTTCCTAAGACCAAACAGTAAAAGACACTTCCCCCCTCTCCTAGGAGCTGAAGTGGAACATGTTGAAAACTTCTTGAGCTAATTATAATGTACTGGCAGGCATTTTACTGGTGTTGGAATTGAAATAATTATATAGTAGCATGTCAGTATTCATTTGTCACTGATTTCTTAGGTGGTGGTTAGGACTTTTTAAAGGTTCCGGGAGTGCCTTTCCAGTAATTAGTTCCATGCTATATAGTTGCTTACCACTCCCTGACACAGTCATCTACAATTTACATTGAAACACAAGTTTTACCTTCAACTTGTGTTAAAGATGGAAGGTTTTATTTGCAGATCACTTTAATCAGAGCTTTATGCCTGCTGAAGCCTGTAGTCTCAGAGGATTATGTGGTCCACCTTCTGTTAGATAACTTGGCTGTAGCTTTTAGTAGTCTAAAGTTTTTATGGGATGAAAAAAAAGTACTAACTCTTATTCCTATGTGAAATGTTTACTCAAATGAATTTCAGATTAATGGATTTACATGCGTTGGACTATGAGACCTTTTTTCTGGGAGGTACAAGCAAACTACACTTATCAACTCATTTTGCTGCTGGCTTTGAAAAGAGCTAGTGATATTAGGATATTCATGTTGGTTTTATAGCACTGGCTGTTTTTGACAGAAGCTTCTAGTGAATGTCTTTTTTCAAAATTTGAGTAAGTTACATCATTTTCCCTGATCCCCAGCTATCTCAAATTCTGTCAAAATTTTATGTGTCTAGTTTTGTAATTAAGAGCTTTGAAATAAAATTTCAAAGTTCAGGAATACAAAGTATAATTTATGACAAGCTGCTAACTAAATTAATTGAAAGCTTACTTCAGTATTCTGTGGAGCTACTGCAGTAGTGTGCTACAGAATTTAAATGTTTTGTTGTGGAGAGCTTCTCTTTGGCTGGTTAATTTTGTATTGGAGCAGTGTAAGGGAACTGGAGGCATATTGTGCTATGCACAGTATTGATTTTTGAATAGTCTCCATTTGTAGCTATAAACACTGTTTTGCTCCAGAGTTTGGCTAAGTTTTGGTTTTTATTTTAAGACTCTGTAAAACCTAAAATTACAGTCACATTATTAAAGGATGGTTGGGAAGCTTATTCAGTTTTTCTCTGTTGTTTTAAGTATGAACTATCTGAGAATAGTTTGAAAATCCTCTTGTGGGTTTGGGCTTTTCTTGTCACAGAAGTTGAGTGAGACTATGTGCAAACTGCATATTTAAATTTCAGTAGTATTTATATTGAAAAGCAGAGGAGAGAGAGTACTGGCACTGGGTGACCGTTGAACACACATAACATCTGAAGCTGTGTATTCTCAAAGTATTTTTCAGTTAAGCTAAGAAGCAGTGCTTTCAACTGAAACTGATCCTCAGAGCATCTCCAGTATCAAGACTTCTAGAATATGCAAGTTACTGTTGTTCATGATCAACTTCTGTATAAACAAACCTAACAGTCACTGAAATCTTAGTCTCAGTAGAGGCAGAAAACAGTATTTTAGGTTACTTTTAAAAAGAGTGATATGAATTCTCCTCAGTTGTTAGCTCTCTCTCCAAGTTTCATAACAAGATCGGAATATCATTCAATTTTTGTCAGTGAAGCAGTAATATAAAAACATTATTGTAACTGTCTCGGGTTTCTGTAGTCCAGGGCTTATGAGAATAATTAAAAGTACATTGGTGAAGCAGAGAACTGCTTCCTTCAAAAAAACTTAAAGAACCAGGAGTTTCTTAAATCATGTTCTGTTGACTCTGCAGATTTGTCTTCTAATGTAATCTGACTCTAGTAAGTCAGACCAAAGACTTGTATTTGACAGTGATTTGTTTGCAGATGCCTGAGAAGAAAGTAAGGACAGGAGAAACAGGCAGTGATAACTCCTTCATCAGTAGGAGTTGTCAGCAGTCTTACAGGTTAGGGCCAGCTGAGGCACATGGTATCTTCAGTGTCTGCCCTTTCACTTTGTTTTCCTACAGCTTTTTCTGTTTAGTTTCTGACCCACATTTGGGTTTTGCAGTGTTCTGTAGAAGTACTTAAGTATGCAAAACTTGTTTGGGCTGATTGCCTGAAAAACTTGGTGCTTGCTAGATCTTGTGTTAGAGAGGTGAGCCAACATTTCGTACCTTCCTGACTGCCAGTTTCTATTTATGGATCTCTTCCATGCCTGTCCTCTGCTATCCCTCCCTCTGCCTCAGCTCAAAGACACAATGGAGCTGTTTCTTGTATACACCTGTTTGCCCTTTCAGTGCCTTTCTGTTGTGGGTGCATTTGAGTTAAGGAAGCCATATCTGTCACACCATACCAGAGAGGTGACATGTTCATAGTGGTGCAATTGTATTTGTTTGTATTTGTCATCTATTACTTTTGTAGTTATTGATTATAGATTCCTCTGTTGCATAGCTGCTTCCTGAAAATTGACCTAATACATGCATGAGACTGTCTACTACAACACCCTGTTTCCTGTGCAGTGATGGGGGATTTGGGGCCCGCTCTTCAGGGCAGTGTCTTTGCTCCATGCCTCTGTCCTTAGGGCAAGACCCCTTCTTGAGAGCTGTGTGAAAGTCCAACTGCACTCTGTTAGCTGAGTTACCTTCTGCACAGAGAGAGTTTGCAGAGAGCTCTTACAGCCCTGTGAGGTACCACTTCATTCTTTTCATTTGACTTCCCAGACGCTTCTCCAGCTTGTAGCACTACAGTGCGTAGTTGTGACCCAAATAGGGCACCTAGTATTTGGCCTTGTTGAACCTCATACAATCCATATCCACAGTTATGCATTTGACAAGAAGCAAGTATTCTATGCAAACTGCCATTTTAGGGGGGTTTTTGTTGGTTTTTTCTTTTTTTTTTTTTTTTTTTAGCTTGGTTATGTCCAGTTAAGTGATTCTTTGATCTGAACATTGTTAGTGAGCTATATAATCGTGTATTGCGGATGTGCAGTGCATTCAGGTGATATGAGGAGAACACAAAAATCATGGAATTAAGCTTGAAAATGTTAGGAAATTTGTAAGCAAAGTAGTTCAGCTAAGCAGCAAGTTCTTCAGGTCCCACAGACCATCTTAATAGTAATTTGTAGGGTAGGCTTTTACTTTCTCTATTTTGGTCAAATAAATGTAAATGTATTACTTTTTGCAGGCAAACATAACAGAATTTTTCCAGGGAATTCAATTATTACTTTGAAATATTCAAACTATAGTTAACTTCTCATTTATTGCAGTAAGCTATTGTAGGTACTTCCATTCTCAAAAAAAATAGGGATTCCACCATAACTACAGCAAAGCAGGATAGATGTAAAATACCTACCTGCTTTGTTCTCTGCTTTTTTTAAAATACAATGCAGCCTCTTTTCTATGTAAAGCTTCAATTTTACGGCTGTTTTCACTTATAACATACCTGCAACCTTAAATGTATTTTTCTTTTAATAAACAGTGTTTTATTTTGGTGACCCTGAGGTGGTTTTATTTGTGATTCAGATCTCAGTTAATGATGGAAGTATAATAACACATTATCCAACTGCAATATGGGAAAACGTATTCGACCTTTTCCCACCCCATCCCAATTTAATTTCCTGTTCTGTTTTGATGGGGGTGGATTTCCTTAAGTGCAGAGGACAGCTAATGTCACTGAATATTCACCCCCTTAAACATTACAGGCTTCTGCTATGAAGTGAAAAACATGAATGCTTTACTATTACTTCAGTCTTTTCAACCTACATATATTTACATTTGGGCAAAACCAATACAAAAGTGGTAGAGCAGATACCTTCCAGTATTCCAAAGAGCATGTATTGAAGAATAATGCCTGATAAGAGACTTAATTCAGTTTCCTAGGCAACCGTCCAACGTTGCACTAAATTTCTTATAAGGTGTTACCCTCTTATGATTAACAACAATGAGCGTGCTCTGCAGCTGGCATCAGTGTTCTGGGAGTCTAGACACACAAATTTGGAATCTTTCTTTTAGTACTTCCACTTAAAATCTTTGAAAATACTTTGACAGCAATAAATACCGGGATATGTGTTCTTTCATAAGACTGTGTTTGTATTCTGGGAAAAATAAAGCAGTGTTTGAGTGTTACATCTTTTGGTATTTAAAACTACTGCTTGTTCTGTGATTAAAAGAGATTTTACATAAGAGTACATAATTACTATATCACAGTCTCTTTTCCCAGGTGATCACATAATTATTAAAATAATTGTATATATCCAAAATAAAAGAGACAATTAGAATTATGGGCATATGTGTCTGATGATAGGATTTCTGGGAAAAGTGTCTGCTCAGACTTTTAGTTTTGTTGTCTAAAACAAGTGAATATGACTTGGCCTTCTCCTTATTGTCAAAAGGAAAAGAAAGAATATAGTAAAGGTATTACTAAAATAATTAAAATAATACAGTAAAGGAAACAGAATTTGTTTCAGTTTTACAGTGCAGTATTAAACCATGACATATTTTTCTGCATATATTGAACTTCCATTAGTCTGTTACATAACTGTATTGTCACTAGCTTTTACATACAACCCTACAAAAAGTTGCAAAATATTGTACTTACCTGAAAATTAAAGGAAATGTAATTGACAGTTAAAATGACGACACAGATTATATTTGTGTATGTACCTGTATGTATAAGTCTCAATAGGGATACACATTTTACACACAAAAACTCCATATGTAAATGTGTTTATATGTTTAATAGTAGTTTCAAATTTATCTTACTATGAAAAGAAACCACAGGGCAAAAATAGTTTTGGAAGATAGTTGTAGTGCCATATATTAACATGTGAAACAAATTTTAAGTGTTTAAATTTTTTACCAGGTAGTTTCTAGAAGTGTCTGAAGAACGTTTAAATTAGTGTCCTCAGACTAATCGAAACTCTCCATCAAATTTATTGTAACAATGAAGCCTGCAAGTGTGGCTGCTCATGTCCTGGATGGGTGCACTCTTCAGTGGCTTAAAAACTGGCTG